CCATCATGAGGGGTAGTGGTGGCTGTGACTCTGGGCGGTGCCCTCGTCCCATGGAGTGCAGGCCCTCCAGGCTGCTTTAGCTTGGCTGAGCCACTGTACACCAGTGGCCACAGTGGGACTGAACACGGGGAGACTTTCCCTCAGAGCTGCCTGATGTCCACATCATTGTGGGCCGTCCTCATTGAGGCTCAGTCTTGGGAGGGTGGCCCCTGCAGCTCCTGTCTGCCCCTCAGGTCCTCGAGTCCCTCGTCGCTATGGAAGAGGACGCTTTCCACCACTGTGTTGGGGGTGCCCCTGCTCCTTGGAATCCGCTATTTCACAGCAGAGGCCCGGGAGAAGAGGAAGATGCGGCTTGTGGTAGATGGCTTTGGGCGCTTTGGCAGGTAGGAGGGCACAGGTGGGCTGTGCCTGTCCTTGGAAGGGCTGCAGTGTTCTGTGGGGACTCTTGCCACCTTCCAGGTGTCTTTGGCTGTGGGGGGTGGCAAGCATTGTTGCCATGCCACACGTGGATGAGGGACTGCCAGAGAGGGCCTCTCACACTGGATGTAGCCCCACAGACCCTTGGCTGGATGGCAGCTGCCACCTTCCCTTCTCACCCCACCACAAGAAGAGCTGGTCTCCCAGACAGGCCTGGGCTGGCCACAGCAGCCGCCCTGTTCCTAGTACCCATGGTCTTCCAGGCTCTCCTGTCTCAGTGCAGAATGGAGGGCATGGGACAATCTGTGCCCTGCCAAGTTGACCCTTGTGGGCACTGGCAAGCCTTGGCTCCTGGTGTTTTGTGGTAGTGCCAACATGCCTTCCAGCTGCCCTTCCTCCCCTGTGTGCCACACTGTCACTCGCTGACACTATTATTTGGGTAAATTGTTTACGGTGGTCAGAAGGTGGTTCTTCTAATTTAGTCATTCCCTCAACATATATTGCTGGCATCTCTTGTAAGGGAGCTCTCTGCCAGTTATGAATCCATTGGTTTATTTATACCATCTAGACTGAGAGATTTGCTTTATGTGTTACTATAAGTATCATTTTTTTGGGGGGGGGTATTAGGGATTGAACTTGGGGGCACTCGACCACTGAGCCACATCCCAGCCCTATTTTGTATTTTATTTAGAGACAGGGTCTCACTGAGTTGCTTAAGGCCCTGCTAAGTTGCTGAGGCTGGCCTAGAACTTGTGATCCTCCTGTCTCACCCTTTCAATTTGCTGGGATTATAGGTGTGTGCCCCATGTCTAACTTCTCCAACATTTTATTTTGAAGAAATTAAAACAGCAAAGTTGAGCACGCTCTATGTGCCAGGTGTGGCGGCATACTCCTATAATCCTAGCTGGGGAGGCTGAGGCAGGAGGATCACAAGTTCAAAACCAGCCTCAGCAATTTAGAGAGGGCCTAAGCCACTCAGTGAGACCCTGTCTCAAAATAAAAAGGGCAGTGGTAAGGGTTAGGGTTAGGGTTAGGGTTTCTTTCCTGAGCGTTCTGCCCCTTCCTGGCACTGCTGGATGTATCAGGCTCTCCAGTCTTTCCCTGCCCAGCCCTGGGGTCAGTTTGGGGTGGGATGGTTGGAGCCACTCCTGATGCAAGCAGGCCTTGCCTTGCGAGGTGCACAGCCGGGATCGGGTGTGCACAGGCACCACTCCCATGTGCCTGTGGCTGCGTTCCTCGTTGGTTAGAAGGCCACGTGCTCACGTGGATGCCTCCCGTTCCCAGCAGAGCCGTTCTGTCTCCCTCTGCGTTAGTGGGATACTGAGGCCACCTGAAGGCTTCAGGTCTGCATTGCTCAAGGGGGAAGGGGCCTCCTGGAGTCCCAGGGAGCTGAGCAGTCCTCTCCATGCCCACTCTGCTGGCCACCCAAGCCCCTCGTGGCAGAGGTTCCCCCTGTGGGACGGTCCAGCTGTGGAGGACAGCTTAGCAGGTGCAGGGCAAGGCCTCACCTTGCCACTCCCATGGTGAGGGACCTATACCCCAGAATGGAAGGGATTCTTCCCCTCCCAGCTGTTAGCCGGGGTCAGACCACCCACCTTTTAGTTCTGAGCCCCCCTGTGCTGCAGTGTCCAGACCGACCAGCTGAGCAGCTCTCCAGGATCCCCACCCTTGGGCTCCATTCTCAGAGGAGCAGTGACCTTGCTTCTCTTAGTCTTGGAGACCCCTCCTCCTCCTTTTGGTGGTGACAAGAGGCCTTCCCGATTGGTGCATGTTTTTGCCCCGTCCCCACTATCTACCTCCCCCTTCCCTGGGTTTCTGTGGGTGCTAACAGTCAGGAGTGAGAGTGGCCTTGTGAGACCTGGGACTGAGACTGACCAGCAGGCACTAACTAGCTCACTAGGACCTGAGTCCTGTAGACTGGGTCCTGGCTCCATCTCTCCCTTGGCATGGGGTTGGCGGGGGTGAGGTCGAGCCTGACAGGGCTCTGAGAAGAGGAACCAGCACTGGACTCCACCCCATAGCCTACCTTCAGGGGCTAAGGCCTCCTCTGCCCGCAGGTCCCTGGGGATTGGCCTGTACATCTCCCTGGACTACTGGTGGTGCACAAATGTCATCCTGCGAGGGGTGGAAGAGGTTTGTCCCCCTGCCCTGGGCATGCAGGGGGCACACTGGAGGTGGTGGGTGCCTTGGGGACTGAGGAGGTGGCTGCCTGCCCCCATCCTCCCCTCCACGTCTATGGTCAGAACAGCCCGAGGTACGTGGAGGTGATGTCTGCTTGTCACCAGCGAGCAGCTGATGCCCTGGTGGCAGGGGCCATCCGCAATGGTGGCCTCTACGTGAAGCTGGGCCAGGGACTATGCTCCTTCAACCACCTGCTGCCACCAGAGTACATCCGGACACTGCGTGTACTGGAGGACCGGGCCCTCACTCGGGGCCTCCAAGAGGTAAGGCCTTACAGAGGAGGGAAGGGGGTGCAGTAGTGCCCCCCTGCAGCTCCACGTGCTGGCTCCTCCCAGGTTGATGAGCTGTTCCTAGAAGACTTCCAGGCACTGCCCCTTGAGATCTTCCAGGAGTTTGACTACCAGCCAGTGGCTGCAGCCAGCCTGGCTCAGGTGCACCGTGCCAAGCTGCACGATGGCACTGCTGTGGCTGTGAAGGTACTGGGGCCACCACCCTGTGCCAGGTGGGCTTCGGGCTTGGTGGCAGCCCTGGGTCCTCAGTGTGCCTCTGCCTGCTGCAGGTGCAGTACATTGACCTGCAGGACCGCTTTGATGGGGACGTGCACACGCTGGAGCTCCTGCTGCGGCTCGTGGGGCTCATGCATCCCAGCTTCAGCTTCAGCTGGGTCCTGCAGGTAATGCTACTCAGAGCAGGCCAGGCAGTGGGCGGGAGCTGGCCTCCACCGTCACCAACCGCCCACGTATGGCCCCAGGACCTAAAGGGGACCCTGGCCCAGGAACTGGACTTTGAGAATGAGGGCCACAACGCCGAGCGCTGTGCACAGGAGCTGAAGCACTTCCCCTACGTCACCGTCCCCCGAGTGCACTGGGATAAGTGCAGCAAGGTGGGCTGGGATGGTCCTGGGGGTGTGGCGGCATGGCCTCTTGCGCTCAGCCTCCTGCCCTCCCACAGCGTGTGCTAACAGCCGACTTCTGTGAGGGCTGCAAGGTCAACGACGTGGAGGCCATCGAGAGCCAGGGGCTGGCAGTGCGGGACGTGAGTGCTGCGCACCTAGTCAGGGGGTGGGGTGGGGGTGCTGCCGGGTCTGCTGCACATCCTGCCCCCTCCCCAGGTAGCAGAGAAGCTGATCCAGGCTTTTGCTGAGCAGATATTCTACACAGGCTTCATCCACTCCGATCCCCACCCTGGCAATGGTAGGACCTGGGAGACGTCTTGGTGGGTGGCCTGGATTGACATGCTGTGTCTGCCACCCTGGCGATGGTGGCCTCAGCGACATACTCTTGTCTGTAGTTCTGGTGCGGAGAGGCCTGGACGGCAAGGCAGAGCTGGTGCTGCTGGACCACGGGCTCTACCAGTTCCTGGACGAGAAGTGAGCTGTGGGCACGTGGGACCCTCTCCCTGTGGCCTGGCCTTTCCTGCCCCAAGACGTGGGGCTCACAGCCAGACCCTCCCACAGGGACCGGTCAGCGCTGTGCCAGCTGTGGCGCACCATCATCCTGAGGGACCAGGCTGCGATGAAGGAGCACGCAGCTGCACTTGGTGTAAAAGGTAAGGGCAGGTGCAGCCCCAGGTTGGGCAGTGCTAGCCGGACACAGCCCAGCTCAGGCCCTGCCTCCACAGACTACTTGCTGTTCTCTGAGATGCTCATGCAGCGGCCCGTGCGCCTAGGGCAGCTGTGGCACTCCCACCTGCCCAGCCAGGAGGAGGTGGCCTACATGCAAGACATGGCCCGCAGCCACTTCGAGGCCATCATGCAGGTGCTCCGGGCACTGCCTCGGTCCATGCTGCTTGTGCTGCGCAACATCAACACGGTCCGTGCCATCAATGTGGCTCTTGGCACCCCTGTGGACCGCTACTTCCTCATGGCCAAGAGGTTAGTGACCGAGGGGGTTCCCTGGGGGTGGATGAGGCCCGTGGGCTGATGCCTGTGTCCGACACAGTGCGGTCAGAGGCTGGAGCCGCCTGGTGGGTGCAGCATACCCGGGTATCTACGGCACTGGCCTCCTGCGCCACATGAAGGTTGCCTGGGAGATGTTCAAATTTGAGGTGGCTCTGAGGTGAGTGGACATGTGGTACTGGTTGGGTGGTGGGCCTGGGCCTTCTGACAACCAATCTTTGACCCCCTACTCTACACCCTCCCGTAGGTTGGAGACCCTGGCCATGCGGCTCACCGCCCTCCTGGTTCGTGTTCTGGTCTACCTGGGCCTTGTGCCTCAGGCCGAGGAGCTCTACCAGTACCTGGAGACATAGATCCCCAGGGCCAGGATGACCACACAGCTGCTCTTAGCCCTGGCCCACTGACATCAGGCAGTCGGCCACCTCACACTGTGGGGCATGGGGCAGTCATGGCCTGAAGCAGGGGAAGCATTGTGGGGCCCTGACCAGCAATGACCACACACTCGTCTCAAACAATTTGTTTTCCTTGTTTTGTACAAAAGGTGGGGGGAGGCAGTGTGCGGGGGCAGGGTGGCATCCACATGCTTAGAAGTGGGCGGTGACACGGTCAGTCTCCAGCAGGTCATCAAGGATCTGTAGGGTGAAAGCCGTCAGGGCAGGGCTCAGCAGGGCAGGGACAGGACGGGCGGGGGAAAGCAGGCCAACTCACAATGTCTGGGGTCGTGCCAATCTTCTTGGCCAGCTCCCCACGCTCCATAGTGCTGAGGTACAGGTAGCGGTTGAGCAGCTCTCCGTCAAGCACGTTGCGCACTGCGTTCTGTAGGATGCGCCGGTCCACATGCAACATCCTGGGGAGGGGGTGTGGGGGGTCAGGGCAACCTGGGAGGGTAGGCAGAGCCCTGAGGATGGTGGGTGCTCACCGGAAGGCACGGGGGTTGAGGCCAGCATGGTGGGGCAACATGGTGGTCAGTGCGTTCTGCAGCATCAGCAGCCTCCGGTAGGTCTTCTCCTGCATGGGCAGCAGGAGCCCGATGCCGCCATCCAGTGTGGCTGGGGATGGGGGGGGAAGTGTGAGCCAGGTCAACCCCCTACTCATCCAGTGTGGCTCGAGGGGGCAGTGAGCTCAGTTACCCCACCCCACTCACCAAACCACGTGATGTGCTTGTTCTCCCACACCACCGACTTCTTGCTGGGCCCCTCAGTGGCCCCCCTGCATGGCGTTCTCCAGAACGTGTTCACGTGGGCACCCACGTGGAAATCTGCCCTGCGCAGCAGGCGCATGCCCCCAAAGCTCTCCTTGGCTAGGACAGAAGAACTCAGATCACTGCCCACCCAGTGCCCAATACCCAGCCGGAGTAGAAGTGAGGGAGGGAGGGCTGGGGTTGTGGCTCAGTGATAGCTTGTCTAGCATGTGTGATGCACTGGGTTCGATTCTCAGCACCACATACAAATAAATAAAGGTCCGCCAACTACTAAAAAACATTGAAAAAAAAAACAAGTGAGGGAGGGAGCCACTGACCTTCTGGCAGGTACATGTACACCATGAGGTTGCGGTCTCGGTCAGACACTAGGGAGCAAAGACCCAGAGTCAGCTCCAGCCACCCCCAGGGTGACGCTCCCCCAAGACCCTACTCACCCAAAAAGCCCAGCTGGGCATTGTCCACCATGAAGTCCACACTGTACACCTCCAGAGGCTTGGCATCCTGTTGTCAGGGAGCAGAGCAGAAGGTGTCAGGAGGAGTCCGAGTATGACTCTCACCTGTACCCCAAGACCACATGAAGTACCCGGGACACCAGGCTCAGCGTCTTGCTCTCTTCTTGGTAGCGCAGCAGTGAGATGCTCTTCATGACGTCTGCAGCTAAGATGAAGTTCTTGACGCTGATCATCTGGTGGATGTACAGCTGGGTGTCGATGAAGGCCATGCCCGTCAGCTCACTGGCCCGCAGGCTCCACAGGAAGATCTAGGGGGCAGAAGGGTCAGTGGAGTGGGCAGGGTGAGCAGGCAGAAACACAGCAGGGAGGAGTAGCTGTGTACCTTCTGGCCAATGGCTGACACCAGGTGACCATTGCAGTGGCACAGGGCGGTCACAGGCCCCTTCTGTTCCTTTTCGTATAGGACCTTGAACTTGTTCTTGGTCAGGGGCTGGCCAGGTTCGGGCACCACCTCAATCACGTCCATGATGAGGATCTGGCAGGGCAAGGGAACATGTGGGGATGGCAGACAGGCTGCCAAGGGCCGCCTGTCCCCACCTGGCAGCTGCTTACCCGCCCGCGGCACGTGACCTCCTCTCCCTGCATGAGGCAGGTCCCAGCAGCCACATAGCCCTTGAGGCCCGACACAGTCTCCTCACTGCGCAGCGACACTGTCTTCATGCATGTGACGTGTTCCCATTCCTCCAGCTCAATTCTGCACAAGGACAGGCTGCATCAGGACACCCTAGTCCCTGCCCTGCTGGCACCTGGAAGCCCCCACTGGGCCCAACATCACCTGGCATTGGGAATGGCCTCCCAGCTGACTGGGGAGATGAGCTGGATGGAGAAGGCCTCCTGTTGGGGGTGGATGTACCTGTCATCTGCAGGGACAAGGAGGCAGTGGTCGTAGCCAGCCCTGGGCATGGTCCACCCCACCCCTGGTGGCACATACCTCTCTCAATGGCCTCAAACTCCTTTTCCTCACCAGTCATGCGCGGGATGCGGGTGCAGGGTGTATTGGTGCTGGTGGCCACGGCGTACACCTAGGAGTTGAATGGTGTCACACGCCTGGGGTGCCTGCGGGAGGGAGTGCTGGGGGAGGGGACAGACCTTGGACTCCACATGGTAAGCCACATAGTGAGCCGTGCAGCGCAGTGGGATCTTCCTGACGGGCCATGGGGCATCGTAGGACAAGTAGGCAGGCAGGACACTGATCCGCAGCTCACCCTGGGGTGGGTGGAAATAGTCAGCAAGGCCTAGGGCTGCAGGCCTCCCCACTGCCTGGCTAGGGTCACCGAGTCTGGGGAAGGTCTGGAAGAGCTGTAGCCTTGGTCGTCAGTCCCCAGGCCTTCTATCAGTAGGCTCCTGTCCATCCTTCTGGCTGGGGAATACAGCACAGGGCATGGGAGTCCAAGCCCAGAGGACACTAGAGACTAAAAGCCACATGACTGAGACTGGCCATGCCAGGGACTGCAGAACACAGGCAGAGGGAGACCCTGCCAGCCCCAGCCTCAGCTTCTGTCCAGTCCTGAGGGCATTAGCCCCTTGGAAGCACTCAACACCAGAGTCTGTCAGTGACTCAGGTGGTCATTGCTGCCATGTGGGTGTCACAGATGAGGCAAGGGCTTTCAGGGTATGCCCCATCAGCCAGGCCTCCACTGCCAACTGCTCCAGCCTCCAGATGGCCCGGCATTAAGACCCAGATCCCACCTCCTGGGCCCTACCCTCCTCTAGATAGTCATCCCTGGTCCTCTGGGATGTGCTGCAGCTGAGGAGCCCTCCTGTCCCTAGCGCCTAGCTTTGCCAGGGCAGTATCAGTGCTTGTGGTGCGGCCAGAGTTAACCTTCCTACCTGTCTGTTGAAATACAGAAAGCCTCGGGGACAATTGACATTGTGGAATGGGGCGAAGGAGTCGATGGGGCCATCGATGCCCATGGGGTGCAGCCGCAGAGCCCCCCGGCCAGTCACTAGGAGCCAGTGGGGTGAGGGGCCACAGATGAACACCTGGAGACAGACACTGTGAGAACATGTGGGCAAGGTCCTGTTCCCCTACCCCCAAGCCCAAACAAAGCTGCCTGCCTACCCCAGAATAGCCATAAATGTCCTCGAAGTAGCGGAAACGTGCCACGCGTCCCCGGGCCCCAGACCCCTCCTCCACACTGCCACCTTCTGCCTTCTTCTTGGAGGGTTTTGCCTTCTTTTCACGGAAATTGATGTTGTGGGGGACCTGGTGAAGGTGTTGACGAATGCCAGGCCCTTCAGACCCTGTAGCCTGGACCCCTCCCAACCCACCCCAAAGGGTCTAGCAGCTGCACCTTCTTGAAGCGAACTTTGAGATTGCCCTGGCCAAGCTGAGAGTCATGGGGAAAAGCCTCATAGATAAGCAGCTCCTGGTCCACATGCACCTGGAAGTGAGGCAGGGTGGGCCACGAGGTGGGGCTGGGCCCCGAGGACAGAGTGGAGGAATGGGCTGGGCTGTGAGGGCAGGTCCCAGCCTCTGGGCAGGCACCAAAGGGCTCACCAGCAGGTAGGGCCTGCTCTGGCGACTCCCCAGAGCAACCAGCAGCACCTCCTTGACCAGGGGCAGCTCGCCCTGGCGCGTGGCCTCTTCCTTGCGGGCCTCACCCTGCGTGGTAGGCTGTCCAAAGGAGCTGTCCACCAGGACCCGCTGCCCCACAGGGAAGTTCTTCACCAGGAACACCAGCCGCCAGTCTGGAAGCTGGTAGATCTGGTGGGGGACAGCAGTCAGTGACGATAGCGCCTGCCATGCTGCCAGGGCTGCTGAGCCACATAGGTGCACCTACCTCCATGGTGCCGTTCTCTCGCACCAGCAGGCACCAGTGGGTGGGCTCTGCCCGAAAGGGTGCAGGGTCTCGGTCAGCAGGGGGCTGGCTGCTCCTCCGGGCCTCCTCTTTGCTGGGGCTGAAGAGGGAGCCTGAGTCCCCATAGAGCATCTCCTCCTCGTCATCCACTGTAGGGCTGAAGACACAGACATGTCTCAATCTGCCACAGAGACCCAGGTCTCCTGCACCCTGGCCCCCTGCACACCTGGTCTCTGAGCCCAGTCCCTCGGCCTCTGAACCGCTGCGGCCCCCCATCTCATCACGGGCCCCACTCAGGCGGCTCTCGGTGGTGAACATGCCGCTGACATCACGATACAGGCAGAGTGTGATCACCTTGGACTGCTGCAGGGAGAGACAAAGCCCAGTGTAGGTCGGGGGCAGTGGGGATAGGGGATCATAGGCAGGGATAGCAGACACAGAGGGTGAGGCCTACATGGTGCAGTGGGGGCTTGTGCAGTGCCAGGCGGTGGTGGCGGCCACCATACGAATCACTCTTGAGCAGGAACATGGTAACATGGCCCTCGGCGCTCATGATGACCACATAGGGGTCGGCCACAGCGCACTGCACGATGGGGGCACCCAGGTCCACAGGGATGAAGTGCAGCTGATTCACTGTGGGCACAGGGTGGTCAGCACAGGGTGGCCAATGCAGCATACTCCCCAGGACGCGCTTCCCTACACTTGCCCACCTACCTCCTTCTAGCAAGCGGATGCCCAGTGGTGACACTTGGACAATGTAGCGATTGTCCCCAATGTTTCCAGCAAAAACCGTGGGGCCCTGTGTGGCAAAGCCACTGGTGTCCAGTTCCATGATCTCCTGGCCAGTCTGAAGGATCTGTAGGTAACGTAGTGAGTTGTGCCCTTCCCCGGGGAACCCCAGACGCCCACATCCAGACCCCGCCCTTCACCATTGTTGAGTCTTCCCGGCTCAGAATGAGGAAGCCATGTCTTCGGCCATCATCTTCTGCTTCAGGGGTGCTCGGCTCCTGCTCTGGGCCCTCTGCCTTAGGTGCCTCCTCCTGCAAGGGCCAAGGACAGGGAGGACAGAGAGCTGTGATGGCTATGACCACTGGATCCAGGTGCCCTCAGGCCGCCACAGTCACTATCACCTAGGGTCCCACCTACCTCCTCCTTGCGCACAGGGGCAATGACTGTCCACATGTCATAGCAGCCAGGAAGTTCAAAGGTTGTCACTACCTGGGGCCGGATACTCTTCTGGAATGAAGATCGGGTGGGATGGGGTCAGCCTACTCAGGTGCTGCCAGCAGGTGCCCACCCCCCCTGCCCTACACACCTGCAGCACCGATAGGGCCCCGTTCTTCCCGTAGCCGGAGCAAACCACAATCTCCAGGTCTGGCTCAGGGCTGTTCTGAAACTGCACAGGTCGGGGTAAAGATGCTGCCCCAACCCCGCTCCTGCCCCCAACCCAAGCCCAGGCCCCAGGCACCTCTTCGGAGAGGAAGGCGGGCTCGCCCACAGCAGCATTGGCGCAGGGTCCGATGTTGAGCATGCTGTCACACACCTGCAGACACAGTGGCAGTCAGGTGGTGGGAGGGGGCGGGCATCCACGGCTGTCCCCAGTCTCACCTCAAAGGAGTAGGTGGCCAGCTGTGTGCCTGACTGGGCCTCACTGCCGTACACTTCAATCTCGTCCACCTCGTCCTGTGGCACGGACTTGCCCCCTGTAGCGCACACAGCCCACCTGAGCCTTGCCCTGGCTCCCAGAGCCACCCCACCCAACCGGTCCAGCTCTCACCTGACCAGCCCACTGTGGGGTCCACCCGCTTCTTCTTGGAGGGAGGCTCTTCCTGTGAGGCAGGAGACAGAGGTGAACAGCATTTCCAGGCTGCTTTACACCAAGGGGAGGGGGCCAAGCACCTGGGCACCACCATGAGCACCCACCTTGTCAGCAGCCTCGCGGACAGCACTGGCTGGGGGCTCCTGCAGCTTCTCTGTGTACTTGAGGAGGAGGGAATTGCCCAGGCGCGAGCCCAGGAACAGGTACCCAGGCTCCATGGTGACCATCTGAGGGCGGGCGTGTGGATGAGAGGAGACCAGACCTGGACCCAGTGCAAGACCCCCACCCCTGCCCCTACTCACACTGGTGGTGAGGACACTGGCGGCTGCCTTGTCAAAGTGGAAGGCACGGACGCTGCGCATGCCGTCTGTGACGAGTGTCAGCACATAGCTGTGGGCGGGGCGGGCTGCTGAGTAGGGCTGGGGATGAAGGATGTTGGAGGGCAGGGGTGGGGGTGCTGAATGAGCAGGGGAGGGGATGTGGGGGTCTCAGGGCAGACAGGGCCAGGGGCTCACATCTCGCCACCCTTGAGGGAAATGACCATCTTGTCATAGGAAATGAAGGCGGCCTGGGCGCAGTCCAGGGTGATCCGTACGCCCTCCTGAGTGCCTGTGAGGAAGGTGTCAAGCTGGCTGGAGGCCCTGCCCCACCCACAGCCCCACCCACTAATAGTCAGCTACACTTACGCAGTGGGAAGGCAGTGGTGCCCATAGTGAGGCTGTTGAGAGCCACGCCATATGGGGGGACACTCTGGTTCAGGTACAGCAGCGAGTTGACAGCAAAGACCACGACCCCACCTGGGGACAGACACGGGCTGGTAGGCAGGCTCACTGCTCCCCCCCAGGACCACTGGGTACTGCTGGGCCCTCCTCACCTATGGGCTTGGGCACAGCCAGGGCCTGGGTGCAGTCAAAAGGCAGGCTGGTGAGGGACCAGATGACAGGGTGGACCTTCTGCGTGATGTTCAGTGAGATGGCCACAATGGAACAGGTGTCCTGTCGCACTGCCACCCGCCTGGAGTAGTAGGTGGGTCAGCTGGACTCGCAGCACCCCCCAAGGCTGGGGTCCCACTTCCACCCTCTGCGGGAGCTACACGTCCCTGTCCCCTCTGCCCAGGCAGCTGGGACCACAGCAAAGAGGGCATCCCTGGGCCTCACCCGGGCCAAGTCTGGTTGGGCTCGAACAGGATGAGCAGGGTGGGCTCGTAATAGCCATGCAGGAACTGCAGGTCAATGATGTTGAGCAGCTTCTCGTCCAGGGCCCGCACATCGATGATATAGCTAGGCAGGAAGCTGGACCTCTGCCTGGGGGAACAGGGACGTCAGGGTGGGCCACACAGAGGGGAACCAAGCTCCACGCCTCTCAGACCCAGCCGTGACCCCAGTGCTCACCCCTCACCCACGAGCCCCTCATGCTCCTCGGCCAGGCTCTCCCTGCGGAAGGGCAGCACCACCAGCCGGGTGCCGTAGATGAGCATGGCTGCACAGCGCCCGTCGGGGTCCACCCGCACTCGAGGTGTGTGCACGTTCTGCACAAAGCCGTCCTGGGGGCAGAGGGACATTAGCCAGGAGACGTCACGGGCAGCACTGGGGGTAGAAGGAGGGAGGGAGTAGCTGGGCTGGCCGGGGTGCCTCGATGTGGCCTACCCGAAGCTCAGGCTCCTCAAAGTAGTGCAAGGACAGGGTCTTCAGATCGTGGGTGCCAGGGTCATACTCCACCACCGACAGCTGGGGGCAGAAGGTCAGAACTATGGCCTGCCCCCATGCACCCTGGGGGTACCAGCAGGCCCCTGTGTAGCCCTGCCCCCTCCATCCCCCACCCCGGGCCTACCACCCTCTACCACCCTCTACCCCTCACCTTAGCATCCTTGAAGCTGAGCAGTAGGGCGTCACGCTTGGCTCCTGCCAGCTGCACGCTGGCCATGGACATGACGTTGCCAAAGAAGGAGAAGGAGGCCACCAGCTCCAGCTTCTCGCGGTGGGCCTTCCCCTCTGGGAGAGGGCCAGCAGGTCAAAGCTGGGTGATGCCCTGGCTACCCACATGCCCAGGGTGGCCACCCCTGTACTTACCTGTGCTCCTGTCATTCTTGGTCAGGGCCTGGAGGGGTAGGAAGAGAAGGCAGTGAGGGGCCACATACATGCCTGCCTCTCCTCATCCAGAGACAAGCCCTGAGGAAGGACAGGAAAAGTTCACTCAGGGCTGAGCCCTGCCACCAAGGACCCTGGAGATAGGTGTGCACCCTCCCTGGCCTGTCCACCTCTCACTCACGCACCCATGCCCCCAAGCCTGGTCTCAGGGCTCCTCCCCAGGAAGCCTCTGCCTCACGTTTCCCCAGAGGCCAAGCCCACTGCTGCCCACACTCATCTTCTGCCCCAAACCTGCCCAGCTGGGCATCCACAGATGTGAACCTGAGGGTGCTGCTCCAGGCACAGCGTAGGCTACACTCGCGCCTCCAGTCGGAGCCAAGGTACTGCAGCTACCAGGAGGCTCGAAGGCTGGAAATGAGGCAAGGTGGCCACGCCCAAAACCTAACCCTCAGGGAGCTAAGGCAGGTTTGAGGCCAGCCTGGGCAACTTAGTGTGGTGACCTCAGGGTTGTCGTACCTCAAAAATTTTTTTAAGTTTAAAAACAAAGTGTGGGGGGATGCTGAGAATGTAGCTCAGTGGTGAGCACTTGCTTTGGGTTCAATACTCAGTACGGGGGCGGGGGGAGATAGGCCCTGAAGCACAGAGAGACAGGCACAGAGGTGCTTGCCTGTAGTCCCAGCTCTCAGGAGGCTGAAGCAGGAAGATGGTGTGAGCTCGAGAGAGAAGACAAAAGGAAAGAAGCCAGCCCCGCGTCCTCCATGCCAGCTCAGGGTGCCCACTGTGGCAGGACTGGCAAGGCTGCACTTACACTAGACTCCAGGGACAGACTCAAGACAGCCACTTATGGGCCTGGGTGGGGTCTGCTCTGAAGAACAGGTGTGGTGGTCAGCACACCGTGCCCTGCTGGCCTAGCTCTTGGGATGACTGGCACCTTTCACCTTGGTGCTCTGAGGCCCTGAATTCCTGAAAGAAGGCTGACTACCCTGAGGTCACCACACTGCCAGGAAAACTGGGCTGGCCACTTGGAGGCGGAGTGGAAAGGATAGAGAGAGACAAGACCACCTGCTGCTGCTGTGTCCTGTGCAAACCCAACCCGCGGGTGTGTGCACAAGACAGACCAGGCTGTCCCTCCTGGGCAGCAAGCGTGCACACAGCAGTCTCCCCCCAGCACCACCCAACCCTGCTGCCTCGTGCTCATGCTGTCCTGAGAGGGCCAGGAAACAACTACCACACCTGGTGTCTTTGCATGTTTCTTAACGACGGACAGGGAAGGATCACCACAATCCTGGGGGCTGAGTGTCTTTCAGGGCAGTCTGGGTTGCTCCCTTCCACGCACAGATGAGCTGCCATTTCTCTGATCTTTAAAAACCTGCGTTCCCCGTCAGTCACTAACGCATTTCTTTGCTTTCTTTTGCATGAGTCTCCAGACAGTTGTCTGGGTTCACTGTTACCAAGCCTCCTTCTCAGGGCCTCCCATCCTCCTCAGGTCAGGCCACAACCCCACTTGCCCCAGCCCGTCTTGTTCCACCTGAGGCGCTAGTGTCCTTCTCCCATGTGCTGCACCCCCAGCCTTTCCTCCTGCTGCCCTGGCCGCGGTCCTCCAACTCTTCCTGTCTCAACCTGGCAAAGCTGAGGTGCCCAGGGCCTTGTCCTTTACTGTCTCTGGGTAACTATACCAGCTTCAAAGGGCAGATGCCACCCATAAGCTAAAGACCCCAACTCTGCCTCCAGCCCAGACCCCACTCCCATCTCTACCTGCTGCTCTAAACGGCCACCTGCTGAGGAATCAGCTGACCAGCACCTGAAGCAGCTCTGCCCCGCCCACCACACACAGCTCTGCATCCCCTCCCTCACTGTACTAGGGTTGGTCAATAGGACCAGCACAAAACAGCAGAAGGGACAGCAGTTGTGTCTGAGACCAAGCTCTGGTCTCAGAGGACCTGCCTCACTCTGGCAGTCTGTCATGCTGTTGAGGCCCATGCTGAGGAGTGGAGGCCTCCTGCTAGCAGTGCAGGCAGAACTCCAGTCCAGCTGAGCCCCAGAGGACCACAGCCCTGTGGGGAGCTCATCAGGAATTGCTCTGCTGAGCTGCTCCTGACTGTGGGCCCTCAGAAACTGAGAAATACTCCTCCTTCCTTAGCTTCTAAGTTTTGGGGTAACCTGTTCAATGGCAAATAGTAACTAATACAAGATCCACCCACAGCCTTCTCCAGGGCACAGAACAGCAAGGCCACCACTCCAGGTACTCACACCAAACTTCAGACTTGCTGCCCACAGACCTGGGAAGACTTTTGGTCACCCTCACACACCTACCTCTACCCCCACCACACCACTCCGAGGCACTAATGCCTCTCCACTAATGGTACAGCCAGCTCCCAACTGGTCCCCTGCCTCCTTTCACCTTCTCTTCAATGTGGCAGTCAAAGTGACCCTTGAAAACTTGTCAGGTCAGATGATTCTTCTGCCAAAACTGCAGCTCCACACTTGAGGCCTGGGACACTGGAGGCCACCCACCTTGTCACCTCTCCTCACCTCCAGCCCTCACTTGCCCTCCTGCCACAGGACCTCTGCTGGAACTGTTCTGTCTACTTAGAACTTCTTCATCTGATACCCACAGGTTTCTCCATCACTTTTCCTCCCCTGCTCAAATCCCACCTTCCGACGGAAGACATTCGGCACCCCACCCTGGTCTCGCTCCCTCATCCTGCTCTCCAGTCTCTAAGACACTGCCCCCCTCTCACACACCTCCATGGCTGTACATGGCTTGTTGTCCTCAGAGTGCAAGCTCCATGGGCAGGCATCTCTGACTGTAGCGTGCATCAGCATCACCCCAAATGCCTGCACACAGCAGCACTTAAATAAACATCTGCTGAAAGGACAAATGAATTCTGGTAGGGTCTGAGCCCATTCCTTTGGTTATTTTTATTTTTTAGTTGTAGGTGGACACAATACCTTTATTTCATTTTTATGTGGTGCTGAGGATCAAACCCAGTGCCTCACACATGCTGGGCAAGAGCTCTACCACTGAGCCACTACCCCAGCCCCGAACCCATTTCTTAAAAATGTAATGATGCACGTGAGCATGGTAGTGCACACCTGTAATCCCAACAATCCATGAGGCTGAGACAGGAGGATCACAGATTGAGACCAGCCTGGGCTACTTAGCAAGACTCTGTCTCAAAATAAAAAATAAATAGGGCTGGAAGTGAAGCTCAGTGGTAAAGCACTCATGGGTTCGATCCCCAGTACCAAAAAACAAATAAACAAACAAAAAACCCAAAACCAAATAATGATACAATAACTTCTAATCAGTAAAAGTCCACTACAACAGATAAGAAAGACTAAGTTTAGATACTTATTTGGCTCTTTCAGAGATGGACCTGAAAAGCCCGTCCTTTTCTGTTTTGCTTGCTTGGTCAAGCACACCTCAACAGAGGTGCACATATTTCAGGCACGAAGACACCTGCGCTGGGAAAGGTGCCCAGCAGGGTCAGGGTGAGGGTGAGGGTGAGTGCCGCCTGCCTCTCGACCCGGGCAGCCCCTAATCAAAACGCTTGCGTGGCTCCTCCACCCTCTGCGCGCCCCGCTGCGGTGGCGGGCCCTGGTTTCCTCCGCCGCGACGCCTGCCCCGCTGCGCACGCGGGCGCGCCCGGTTCCTGGGGGAGCGAGAAGCCTTCCCGGTCGGACCCTGGTCGCTCTGGCAACCAGCGCGGCCCGGCGCCCCGTCCTGCCAGTAGACTGTCCTCGCGCGGACGCCGCCCCGCGCCGCGGGCTGGCGATGTGCTCCGGCGCCGCCTCAGGGAGGCCGTTTCCAAACACAGGCCAAGCGGCTCTCAGCCCGGCGGCGGCGCACGCCGGTAGCCCAGCGGCTCCAGAGGCCGCGGCGGGAGGATGGCCAGCGCGAGGCCGGCCAGGGCTCACGCGACGGGCCCGCCAGCCTTCCGGCGGCGCGGCAGGCTGCGGGCGGGCCCCACGGTGCGCGGTGCGGCGGCGGCCTCTCTGCGGGCGCGCAGGCGGCTCCGGGCGCAGCCGCCGCCGGCCGCGCACACGAGCACGGCGGCGCGCGGGCGGCGCGGGCCTACCTCGGCGTCGCGGTTCAGGCGGTAGACGTAGAGCTGCGAGGTCCCGGCCACCACCAGGTTGCGCTCGCTGTTGTTGAAGAAGTTGCAGTACATCGCGAACTCGAGGCCGGTGGGAGGGTGCGCCTGCTTGTAGACCGCGTACATGGTGACGCCGCCGCCGCCGCACGCCGCCGCGGCCGACTGGGGGACCAGGACAGCAGCGGACGCGGTCCGGCCTCGCGCGGAAGCCGAGCTGTGCGTTCCGCCTTTTTGCGTCTGCGCGGCGGCAGCGGCGGCCGGCGGCAGCGGCCCCTGGCGGCCGGGAGGGTCCCTGCGCGCGGCGAGTTCTCCGCTTCCCCCGCGGCCCCAGGGTTGGCGTGCCGCACGCCCGCTCCCAGCCCCCATCCCAGAAGTCAAGGGTTTCCTGGAGGGTGGTCACAGCAGAAAACGGCCCCTATCCGCCGCCCAAGCACGGAGCAGGGGACTGACGGCACTTGGATGCTCAGACGGGCAGGGACAGGGTGCTGCCCGAACTCCTGGACTTCGGCAGGCCTCACAGACGAGCCAGTGTCTGCGTCAGAGGGCGAGGGAGCCCGCCCGAGCCACGAAGGAGTGGAGTCCCCAGGGGGCGCAGGCGGGGTGCCCCGGGGCTGCGGGCCCTTGTGTCTCAGGGCTGGGGCCCAAGGCAGAGGCAGACCTGGCCCGTGGCCTGTTGTCCAATGAGAGATACAGTAAGACCGTCAGAGGGAGGCGGCGAGGCACTGTGGGGAAGGACCTCCTGGGAAAGGAGCAGCTCGCCATCGGGGGGTGTGTGGGAGGGGCGATGGGGCCATCAGCACGACCCTGGCAGATTCAGGGCTCAGCTTCGCCATTCAGAGGCCTTTGTCCTCCAGGTTTTCCCCAGCTCCTGCAGGGTGGGCCGTGGCGGGGGACTGTCCAGTTCCCACTCCTCGTGCACCCCACACACTCACCACAGGCAGGCAATGTACTGGGAGCTCATGGGTTTTTTTGTTTTGTTTGTTTGTACTGGGGATTAAACCCAGGGATACTCAACCACTGAGCCACATCCACAGTCCTTTTTATTTTTTATTTTTAGACAGGGTCTTGATTTTTTTTTTTTTTTTTTTTTTTTTTTTGGTGTGTGTGTTGCTGGGGATTGAACCCAGGGCCTTGTGCATGCAAGGCAAGCCCTCTACCAACTGACCTATATCCCCAGCCTAGACAGGGTCTTGATACATTGCTTAGGACCTCCCTAAACGGCTGAGGCTGGCTTTGAACTTGCAATCCTCCTGCCTCAGCCTCCAGAGCTGCTAGGATTACAGGCATGTACCACTGGATTTTTCCTTTTTTTCCCTCTATACTCGTACTCATCTTGGCATATTCAGTATTCTGAGCTGGGTTTAGGAGACAGAGAGTAATTTCTAGATGCCTCTTTTAAGGTTGATGATGATCCTTAAAAAAAAAAAAATCTGTGCTGAGGCTTGTTGTGGTGGCACACGCCTGTAATCCCAGCAGTTTGGGAGGCCTAGGCAGGAGGATTATGAGTTCAAAGCCAGCCTCAGCAATTTAGCAAGGCATTTAGCAACTCAGCAAGACTCTGTCTCTAAATAAAATTTTAAAAGATGGGGCTGGGGTTGTGGCTCAAGTGGTAGCACGCTGGCCTGGCATGTGCGAGGTACTGGGTTCAATCCTTAGCACCACATAAAAGTAAATAAAGATTAATAAATAAATAAATAAGTAAAAAGGCTGGGGATGTGGCTCAGTAATTAAGCACTCCTGGGTTCAATCCCAATTACCAGAAACAAACAGACAAACAAAAAAATAGAATCTGTGCTGGGTGCAGTGGCACACATCTGTAATCCCAGCAACTTGAGAGGTTGAGGCGGGAGGGTTCAAGTTTGAGGCCAGATTGGGCAATTTTGTGAGACCCTTCTTCAAAACAAAAGTAATAAGGGCTGGGAATATAGGCCAGTTGGTAGAGGGCTTGCCTTGCATGCACAAGGCCCTGGGTTCAATCTCCAGCACCACAATAATAAATAAATAAATAAATATACTTAAAAACGGGTCTGGAGATGTAGCTCAGTTGTAAAGTGCCCTTGGGTCTAACCCCCAGTTTCATCATGCTGAGGTGAGAATCCGTGTCTCAGAGTTGGCTGGAACATATGGCTTCTTGTTCCGCACCATTCATGGGGAAGTGTGTCAAGTCAAGGAGCTCTTGGATGTGGCCCTTCCTGCCCAAGTTCACCCCTGTTCCCTGAAGGCAGTACCCCCACCCAGCACAGGTGAACATCACCTGAGATGGACCTCTGGCTTTGCTGTTCGTGGACCTGATACTGGGTGAATGACGGGCTGGACCTAATGCCCCTAGGCTTCTCATTCCTTTTGCTCTCTTCTCCCAACCTTTTCTTTTACCTGGGGCGTGCATATAATGGCTAGAGCTCTGGCAGCTCTGGACCATGAGGAGTATTGTGGATAGAATTGTGTCAACCAAAAAAATATCTTGAGGGCTGGGGCTGTAGCTCAGTGGTAGAGCACTTGCCAAGCACTTGTGAGGCACTAGGTTCGAACCTCAGTACCACATAAAAAAGTAAATAAATAAAATAAAGGGTTGTGTCCATCTACAACTAAAAAAATTTTTTAAAAGATATGTTGAAGCTGGGCATGGTGGCGCATGCCTGTAATCCCAGCGGCTCGGGAGGCTGAAGCAGGAGGATGGTGAGTTCAAAGCCAGCCTCAGCAATGGCAAGGCACTAAGTAGCTCAGTGAGACCCTGTCTCTAATAAAATACAAAATAGGACTGGGGATGTGGCTCAGTGGTTGAGTGCCCCTGAGTTCAATACCCAGTACCCCGCCCCCAAATGTTGAAACCCTAACTGTCACCTCAGAATGTGACTTTATTTGGAGATAGGACCATTGCAGATGGCATTACTTAAGATGGGGGTCATACTGGATGAAGGTAGACCATTAATCCAATGACCGCTGTCCTTATAAGCAGAGAAAATATGTACACAAGACAGTGTCGTGTCAGATGGAGGCAGATTTGAGCTGTGCTGTGACAAGCTAAGGAGCACCTGAGGCCACAGAAGTTGGAAAGGCTCATGGAGCAGCTTCTTCCCTGGATGCGGGGAGGGAGTGTGGCCCTGCTGGCATCTTGCCTTTGGAGTTTTGGCTTCCAGAACCGTGGGAGAACGCGTTTCTGTCGTGTTAAGCATCCAGTCTGGGCTAGGTGGTGGTGTTAAGGCCGTCCAAGGAGACGGCTGCCAGGGACTCATGGTGGACACTTTCTATGAGAACCGCAGGGCAAACCCAGTGACAGTGAGCTGTCACACTCTGGGCTGATTACCTCTGGGACTGCTTCTGTGTAAGAGCAAAAAGGCCTCTTGTGTGGAGCCCCTGGTGATGCTGGTTTTGATTGGGAATGGGGTCCCACCTGGACAGCTCCTTTGACCTGGTTCTCCGGGTGGGGGTCTTCACAGACAAGGGCTGGCGGCTGGAGGAGCCCAAGACAGCTCTCCTGGTGGCTGCAGGTTGGGCTTTCTTCAAATACCTCTTTGTTCTGGGCAAGGAGAGTACAGCAGGGCTTCAAGGATAAGGCTGTCTTTATTGAAATAGGGGCTCCAAACCTGGGGAGGGAGAAGGGGACTCTCGAGGCCCTGGGGTTCTCTGGCCGCTGAGCCCATCCAAAGGTATGAGGAGCCCTGGTCAGAGGCAGAGTCAACAGCTGTAGACAGGGGCAGGATTATTAAAGGGTGATATTGTCCTCGTACAGTGACAGCAGCAGCAGGACGGTCCAGCCGCCCAGCAGGCCCACATTGTGCAGCAGGAAGAGGAGCCAGGGCCTGCGGTCCCGCACATTGAGCATGGCCGGGAGCTGAGGAGGGGGCACTGGGTTAGGGGCCGGCTTAGGCACCTTCTCAGCTCCCCACCCCAGGCTCCCGGCTGCCCCCTGACCATGTCACAGAGCGCCACGTAGAGGAAGAGGCCTGTGGCTACTGCCAGGATCCAGGCCTCGCTCTCCTCGCCGACTCCGACTCCAAGCGCCACGTAGAGGCCGGCAAAGGCCGTGAGAGCCGAGGCCAGGTTCAGTAGCAGCGCACGGCGCACCGACAGCCCCGCGTGCAGCAGGGCCGCGAAGTCCCCTGTGGGCAGGGTCCCTTCCAGAGGTCCGCGCCGCAGGCAGGCCCAGCCCACCTTCAGGACTGACCCGCTGCTGCCCAGGGTAGCCAGCCTCACCACCTGGCGAGGTGCCCCCGGCACCTAGGGTCCCCCCACTCCCCAGGGTCCCCACACACAGAGGCCACGCCCTGACCGGTGTCCCCGCCCACCAAAGCAGGCCTTGTCCCCGCAGCTCACCCAGCTCGTGAGGCACCTCGTGGCAGAACACCGCCAGGGAGGTGGCCAGCCCGGTCTTCCAGGAGGACGCGAAGGCCGCGCCCACGGCCAGTCCATCAGCGAAGTTGTGCACGGCGTCGCCCAGGGTGATCAGGTAGGGTAGCAGCCTCAGCTCTGCGGGCCCGATGGGCACCAGTCCTCTCAGGCCCACTCCCGCCCCGCCGCCCGCCCACTGACCGCAGGCCCTGGTGCTCCGCGCCTCCCCAGAGCTCACCTGGGTTCAGCCTCCGGGTCTCGGGGTTCAGCAGCTCCGGGCTCTCCTCTGCCACCTGGGAGGAGCGAGGGGGAGCCCTGGCTGAGGTGGAGAAGGCGTCAGGCCTTGGCGTGGGGACAGGTCACGGGACTATGGAGGGTTCTCCTGAACCAGGCTCTGCATGGAGCAGGGGTGGCCCACTCACCAGGTCTGCGCTAGAGCCCTCGTGGGCCTGCTTGGGCTGCCGGAGCTCGCTGGGCGCCAGCTGCAGGGACACACCGTGGCTGTGGCCACCATGGCTGCAGTGCCCGTCCTTCTCTGGATCCTGTGGGGAAGGTGGTCAGGGGCTTTCAAGTCTCCTTCCTGTGTACCCACTGGGTCCCCACGAGCCTGACCTGGTCCTTGGGCAGCAGGATGTTGAAGAGGCTCTCAAACAGGAAGAAGATGTAAAGGCCTCCCAGCACAGCCAGTAGACGCCAGGTGGACTGTGGGCCAAGGCCCTCCCCACTGTGTGTGTGGTCCTCTCCACTGTGCGTGTGCAGCCCCAACACCTGGGGAGCAGAGTGTGGGCAGGGGGGGTGCTTTAGGGCCCACAGGGGTGAAAGGCTGGGTCTGGGGAAGGCCAGGAGAGGGAGGGAAAGGAAGGACTCTGGCTGATGGGTGAGGACAGACCTTGGGTGTCAGGTGCAG